CAATGCTGAAATGACCCCATCACCCCTCCTCTACTGAGGTTCCCCAAGCGGATAAAGCTCAGGAGTGAGAGCAAATGGGAAATAGGCCTGTGGCCCTGTTTTTAGCCAGGCCTTACCTCCCAGTGCAGTGAGGCTGGTAGACGCGCTGGAGTGTACGACTTAGGCTAAAAGCACGGGTGGGGCCTCTGACTCTTTCTAAATTCAAATCTGACCAACAGGGGCTTTTATGAAGTGCAAAGGGATGAAAATGAATCTTGCCAGGCCCACATTAAATAACATTATCTCACATTTATGCAGTGCTTGAAATGGGCCATGTATTAACTCATTTAATCCTCGGCAGCCGTCCTATGAGGCAGAAACTCTTGTCATCCTCATTTAAAATGAGGCAACTGAGGCACCCAGAGAGAACAAGAAAGCTGGTACTCTGAACCGTCGAAAGTTCCTGAATGGCAGGACCCTGCCCACTGGTAATATGGCCTAACCCGTGTCCTGACTTAATCAGAAGAAAACTAAAGTGGGGGGCAGAGGAGAGCAGGGAAAACGCCTCCTACTGCTCTACCTGCTGGAATTCTCCAGGCAAAGCCATCATCACAAGTCAGCTGACACCCTCATCCTGGTGGGCTGCTCTCAGCTGGAGTGACTGCTGATCCCAACTAGATCCCCAGAGGCAGCGAAAGCAAGTTTCCGCAAAATAAAACTAAATTGCCTCTGACACCGTCCACTTCTTTTCCTACTACCCCACCCTCCTCTCCTGGCTCCACTTGGCCCACCAGGCATCTGGCCTGAGTCCCATTCTGAAGGCTCTGGCACCCTCCACTAGGGTGAAGTCACCAGGCTTTGGAGTTACATGCAGCTGGCTCAGGACTGTCACTAGCTAGTCCTCAGTGATTTGGGGCAAGTTAACCTCTGTGGGCCTCCATTTGCTCCCCACAGGGGTTAGAGCGATGGCACAGTGCGCCTGTTGCTGAAATGTTCTTACATATCTCAATGCCCTCCCAAGGGCACTTGTGCTCTAATAAGGGTCCCCTGAATACCCAAAGGCCATGAAGAGCCCAGCACTGCAGTGGCAGAATTCCAGGGAGCCAGCAGGGGAGTGCTGGGGACATGGAGTTGTCTCCAAGTCTCTGTGACTCATCCAGACAAGGACAGAGTTCTCTGTTCTCCCCTCCACGGGATGTTAGAGCAGGGGTCCCCAGCCCCCAGGACACAGACTGATATGGGTCCTCAACCTCTTATGAACCGGGCCACGCAGCAGGAGGTGAGTGGCGGGTGAGCGAGCGAAGCTTCATCTGCCTCTCCCCATCGCCCCCCATGGCTCCCCATCACCCCCCATGGCTCCCCGTCGCTCTTATTACCGCCTAAACCATCCCCCCCCCCTCCGCCCCATGTGTCCGTGGAAAAATTGTCTTCCACGAATGCATCCCTGGTGCCAAAAAGTTGGGGACCGCTGTGTTAGAGGCTAACTGTGGTCCAGGGAAAAAAGGCAGAGCTACTCCAAGGGACTTTCTAAAGAAATATATCAAAGCGTTTTGAAAAATGATTGAATGGTATTTCACTCAAACATTTCAAAAACGTTTAGGTGTTAAAAGCATCAGTGGAAGAAATGACCTCTGAAGCCATGAAAGGACATGGAAGAAACTTAAATGCATATTGCTAAGTGAAAGAAGCCAGCCTGAAAAGGCTACACACTGGATGAGTTCAACACTATGATATTCTGGGAAAGGCAATTCTATAGAAACAGTAAAAAAAAAAAAAAGATCAGTAGTTGCCAGGGTTAGGGAAGAGAGAGAGGGAGGAATGGATAGGAAGAGCACAGGAGATTTTCAGAGGGGTGAAAGTATTACCTATTATGCTATAATGGTGGACCATGACATGATGCAACTGTCAAAACCCATAGAATGTCCAACACAAAGGATGAACTTTAATGTCAACTATGGACTTCAGTGAATGCTTCAGTATTGTTTCATTAATTGTAACAAATGTACCACCCTAAAGACATCATAGGGGAAACCAGGGGAGGGGAATTATATGGTAACTTTCTGTACTATCTGCTCAATTTTCCCATAAACCTAAAACTTAAAATCTATTAATTGAAATTAAAAAAAAAGAATCAGTGGTACAGGCCACTTCCAAATGGAATGGCTGCTTGACAGCTTTTTATGTAGGAAGGGAGTGCTGACTCCAGGAGAAATAGGTTAGGTCAAACCCCAATCTTGGCAGAAGAGCAGCTTCTCAAGGTATTATTTTGTGAAGAATCACCTGGGGATCTTCTTAAAATCCAGAGTCAGCAGGTCGAGGATGGTGCCTGAGCATCTGCATTTCTAACAAGCTCCCAGATGAAGCCTGTGCGGCTGGTTCACAGCCCACACTTTGAGAATCAAGGTGGAAGCTCCCTCTCTGTCCTGCACTTATTTCGGTTCATTTACTGCCAGCTTCTGCTCAGACACACATTATCTCTGTTTGTACCTGAATGAGTCCCTGAATTGTCATCCGTGTCCTCACAAGTGCCCTGAAAACCGCCACAGTAAGAAAAATCACCTAGTCTCCAAACACAACCCTGGCCGGAAACTGCTCCAGGAGCCAAACTCTGTAACTGAGCCCTAGGCTGCCTCCCAAGCTCGCCCTCTGCTGGTGGACAAGGGTCATTGTCTTCTAAACTTTCACCCAGCTTTCTTGCTGCTCAAATGCTCATTGTTTTTTCCTTCCAATTAATAAAGACAGAAGAGTTAGATGACATGTTCCAGAGGTTTATTTCACTCTTCTAGATTTTGGAGAATTTTTCCACTCTGTTTCTTAAAGTACATCCTTCAGAGGGGGTAGATAAATCATTGAACAGCACTTACTGACAACTTAATGGCTCTGCATGTTGTCTTAAAGTCCTCCCCTACCCTGACTTTGTTCCCATCCCTCCCAGGCGCTTTGCATAGTGGGGCGGTAAACTTTCGTTTACATTGCAAGATCAGGAGAGAGCAACAATTTCTTTTGATCCAGGGTTGAGATTGGTAGTGGAGGCAAGGTTGGTATCCTCCAGAGAGAGACATCAGAAGCAAAAGAACACTTTAAGGGAAGGATGGGGAGATAGGGAGAGACACACTACCGATCATACACTATCACTCATTCAGGAAAACATTTCTTTGTTACCTGCTGTATACAAGACGGGATCAGGAGCTGAGCATTCCTAACGCCTACACACAAAGAGATCATAGCCCAATACGGTACATAACATAGTGACTGATACCAAGTGTTTCCATATGCCAAGCAATCTACTTACATTACCTTATTTAATTGTATTTAATCCTCACAGCAATTCTGTGATCAACCTCACTGAACAAATGAGAAAGTTGGGGGTGCAGAGAAGTTGAGTGACACCTTTAGTTAATGATGAAGTCAGGTAACTTAAAGAAACAATTTGTTATTTTCTCTCATAGGGTTCTGGGGGTTGATGGGCTCAGCTGGCTGGTTCTCACTTGAGGTCCTTTATTCAGCTGCAGTCAGATAGTTGGTAAGACTGAGTAGACATGTCTGGAGCAGGGGCTGGGATGTCTACAACAGCCAAGGTCTGGTCAGGCATCTCTGTCCACATGGCCTCTCTGTGTGGCTAGCTTGGGCTTCCTCCCAGCCTAGCAGTCAGAGTCATTGGACATCTTAGATGGCAGTTGACCAGGCAGGAACTGCAAAACTTCTTATGATCTTGCTTCTAAAAGCATGTGGCTTTACAATAGCCAGGACATGGAAGCAACCTAAGTATCCATAGACAGATAAATGGATAAAGAAGATGTGGCACATATATACAATGGAATATTACTCAGCCATAAAAAGAAATGAAACTGAGTTATTTGTAGTGAGGTGGATGGACCTAGAGACTGTCATACAGAGTGAAGTAAGTCAGAAAGAGAAAAACAAATACTGTATGCTAACACATATATTTGGAATCTAAAAAAAAAAAACGGTCATGAAGAACCTAGGGGCAAGATGGGAATAAAGATGCAGACCTACTAGAGAATGGACTTGAGGACACAGGGAGGGGGAAGGGTAAGCTGGGACGAAGTGAGAGAGTGGCATGGACTTATATACACTACCAAACATAAAATAGATAGCTAGTGGGAAGCAGCCACATAGCACAGGGAGATCAGCTTGGTGCTTTGTGACCACCTAGAGGGGTGGGAGAGGGAGGGTGGGAGGGAGATGCAAGAGGGAGGAGATATGGGGATATTTGTATATGTATAGCTGATTCACTCTTGTTATACAGCAGAAACTAACACATCATTGTAAAGCAATTATACTACAATAAAGGTGTTAAAAATTAATAAATAAATAATAAAAGCATGTGGCATCATTTCCACCATGTTCTGTTGGTCAGTTACAGTTCAGCTCAGATTCAAGGAGGTAGAGGAATGGGCTCTATGTCTCAATGGGGGGAAGAGCTTAAAGTACATGGAGGTAATCAATCAATGAAGACCATCTTGGAGACAAGTCACCACACCAGGATTTGACCCTCAGCAGCCTGACTCGAACCTTTGTGTGCTCAACCATCATGCTCTACTGACCACCACGTAGTACAGACACAGCCACATTGTGCTCCTGGTGGCTCATGTAAGATATAGTGGTGGACAAAGAAAGAGGTGATTAACTTGTCTCAGTAGGTCAGGCAGGGCTCCCAGCAGGAAACACCACACACACACACACACACACACACACACACACACACACACCTCCCCTTAGTGTGGAGGACAGATTGTGACTGCATTGAGTAGCATTCTATACAATCCCTGCATTACATGAGGTGACCTAAAAGCTGAGGACAAGAGACAGCTCTGAGGCAGCCTGTGGAAAGCCACTGACGTGGAAATAAGGAGCCGTGATGTCCTGTCCCAACTCTGCCACAATGTAGGTCTGGGACCCTGAGAGGAAGCAGAAGTAAAGAACTAGGGATCCCAGGTCTTTCCAGAACCTCGCTGAATGGAATTTCTGAGCATGTTGTGCCCCCTCCCCATCCCCAGATTGGAGACCCTTGCTTGGTGATCTGTATGGACTGCTCGGCAGACACCATGACCAACCGCCTTCTCCAGAGGAGCGGGGGCAGCCCGCACGCGGACGACAGAACCGCTATCACCAAGCGCCTTGAGACCTACTACCGGGCCTCCATCCCCATGGTCGCCTACTATGAGACGAAAACACAGCTACATAAGGTGAGTAACCTCACAGCCCCCCAAAATGAACCAGCCACCCACTTTTTATTCAAAAAAAGAGAAAAAAATAGGAAATTTCGGTTAAGGGATATTGGAATTAGAACTGCATATAGCTGCACAATTTGGGCCAAAATATGGGTCCCTTACTCTCTTCACTTTTTTTTTTTTTTTTTTTCGGTACGCGGGCCTCTCACTGTCGTGGCCTCTCCCGTTGCGGAGCACAGGCTCCGGACGCGCAGGCTCAGTGGCCATGGCTCACGGGCCCAGCCGCTCCGTGGCATGTGGGATCTTCCTGCACCGGGGCACGAACCCATGTTCCCTGCATCGGCAGGCGGACTCCCAACCACTGTGCCACCAGGGAAGCCCTCTCTTCACTTTTGTATATCATCATATGGACCATGAAAAGCTGGCTATACAATGTTCATAGATGCCATTATGGTTGCTGGAAACTGGTCCTATTTCCAAGAAAGAGGGAGAGAGGGAAGGAGGGAGGGATGGGGGGAGGGAGGGAGGGGGAGGGGAGGGGGAGGGGAGAGGGAGGGAGGGAGGCATGGATGAGGCATAAGTTCTGCCTCCCAGACCTCAGCTGCACAGGAGGATCCAGAAGGTCTCGTCTAGATCTAAAATTCAACAACTTTGCCTTTCTAGATTTTTGCCTAGTTCATAATTGGCCCTTGGCTGCCTCAGTTTCTTGCAATGACAAGTGTTATTGGGAGAAGCAGCATATAGGGCCAGGAGAGCAGATGAGGTGAAACAATGAGGAAATGGGTGGTGTCAACTCAATGATCACGAGCGCTAATCCATGCTGAGTCCCTGTTAAGTTCACGAATTTGGGAAAACTACCCGATCCCCATTCATTCACTCATTTCATAACTATGTATCAAGCACCTCCTATGGACCATCCACTGCCCTGGTGGTTTGGATGCAGGTGATAAGATGTGGTTCTTGCCTGCTACAGCCTTGGGTTTAGTAGGGGAGAGAGACACACCTGGGGTCACAATATGGGGTCAAAGCGAGCACAGAGTTCCAAGGGCCCTTTAACCTGGTCTGAGGGGAGACAGAAGGCACTGAGGAAGTTCACCAGAGGAGAACTAAGTTGAGCCCGAGGTGCAGGTGCCGTACGGGGAGCAGAGCACCTCACACAGAACCTCACACAGAAGGAGCTTGGCTGTGACATATAGTGCCAAGGAAACGAGCGACAAGAGGTGGAGGTGGAGGGGCAAGCAAGGACCAGATCAAGATGAACCTATCATAGGAGCCAATAATTATCCTGAGGATGATGACGGGAACTACCAAAGGGGACAGACATAGTCAGGGCTTCCATTTAGAAAGCTCCCTCCATCAGCCTTGTGGAGAATGGGTCCCAAGGAGGTCAGGCCAGGAGACCACTGGGAGGCTGGGGAGTATCCAGGAACCAAACCCTGAGGGCCCAATGCAGAGGAGAGAGAGTGAACAGCTACTATCTGCCTCTCCCAGGAAGTTACAAGGAGACACGAGTCAATCAGTAACAAACCTGGCTTGGGGACAGCTACATGACCCATTCCTTGGGGGAAACCACTGATAATGAATTCTTATCTTCTGAGCCTGTTAATGGTCCATTTTCCAGACTCCTATGGACTTAGCCCTGTGTCGAATCTGAAGGGTGCTCCATGATTTAACTCAGAGGTGTCATGTATGTGACATGAGAGCTATCATCCCCGCCTTCTGCACCCACAGCAGACACTGCTACGGCATCGTGGCGCTTTCCTCAAGACCCAGACGTGGCCTCGTGATGTTGTTAGCACAGCGCACCAGGCAGCTCCTTCCAACTGCTAGGACTTGATGAGCAAGACGAATCCTATTTGCTGTACTTCATGTAACCTCCGGTTGCTACATAAAACAAAGACCTAGATGTTTAGAAACAAGCAAACAAAAAGTGCACTATGTACGAGCAGGGTCTTAAGAATTCAGGTAGCAGAGGCCTTTCCAGGATTGGTGATTTCCACCCTTCGTGCCACCTAGAACACACATGGAAATTACCTTCCACTTTGAAGATTTGCAGAGGTGAGAAAAGTTCCTGAGTAATTCAGAGTCAGAAAAGCCCTTTGACCTCTCTCCTGTGTTACTCCAACCTAAATTCTACACACTCACAAATGATTGGCACGTGCATGCGGGGCTAAGCGAGTTCTCAGATAAAGCTGATTTCTGGAATCCTCCTTAGAAATTTAATATCTAAGTTAATGGGAAAGGGAGTTTCCCGTCCCACGCGGCTCATCTCTGCAGCTCCCCCCCGCATTTTGGAGATGCTGGCTGTTGGGCCTGTGGTGAGGTAACATGTATGATCCACTTGGAAATTTTTTTTTTTTTTTTTTTTGCGGTACGCGGGCCTCTCACTGCCGCGGCCTCTCCTGTTGCGGAGCACAGGCTCCGGACGCGCAGGCCCAGTGGCCATGGCTCACAGGCCCAGCCACTCCGCGGCACGTGGGATCCTCACAGACCGGGGCACGAACCCGTGTGCCCTGCATCGGCAGGCGGACTCTCAACCACTGCACCACCTGGGAAGCCCCACTTGGCAAATATTTAAAACCACTCCAGTCCTGACTCCAGAACAGCGTGGGCTCTGGCCCTCAGGACTCCCAGAGGGCCTCTCTGAAGAAGCTGCTTTGTCCCTTCCTCTGCCCCGGAACTGTCCTCACCCATGCAGCTGCAGAGATGAACAGCCTTCCTCCCCAACCTGGAGTAGAGACAGCACAGGGTGGCCTAGTGCTAGCCCAGGGGCCCAGGGAGGTGACAATGTTTTGCAGGTGACCCATGAGGCTTGCCAGCAGCTCGGGCCACAGAGGGGGACTGGAGGAGAAGCGAGAGAGCAGCCCGGCTTGGTTTCCATTGGAGGTGAAAGTCTCTGTCCCTTTGTGTTCTCTGGCCTTCTGGGCTCCTGCCTGGTCTCCGAGCACCAGCTTAATTGCCTCCTGATTTGAAGTGACAGCCTGTGTCTTGTTCCCGCAATGCTCTTTGGTTTCTTAGTACCCCTTCCCTGTCTCGTTGATTATTGAGCCCAAGGCGGGGCTGCTCACTCTCCAGGTGGGCTCCTGGATCATTTAAGGAGTTTTCTCTTTTTTTTTTGCGGTACGCGGGCCTCTCACTGTTGTGGCCTCTCCCGTTGGGGAGCACAGGCTCCGGACGCGCAGGCTCAGTGGCCATGGCTCACGGGCCCAGCCACTCTGCGGCATGTGGGATCTTCCTGGACCAGGGCACGAACCCGTGTACCCTGCATCGGCAGGCGGACTCTCAACCACTGTGCCACCAGGGAAGCCCAAGGAGTTTTCTTAAACTAGATGGGGGTGGTGAATGCACTTCAAGATGCAAGTGAGATGAATCAGTAGCTCAGTGAGATTACTTTAGGAATTAGAGCTGCCCAGTGGTCTAGCCCAGAAACAGAGGACCCTCCAAAAGCACTTCCCTCAGTCCTCAGTGTCGCCCAGTTATGCTTACAGTCGATCCATCCCCTGACACCTTTACTGCCTAATGATAATCAGCCCTTTTGGCCACCAACTAGCTGGAAAAGTGCAATGAAATTTCAAACAAAAGTAATAAAAAAGCAAAGCAGAACTTATATAGCCACTGCCTTATTCTTTGTCTTTGTTATGCCATCATCATACAATAAAGTTAGAACTTCTTGTAACATAAACCAAGGGATAGAAGCATATGTGATCCAAATGGATCCCCTGACCTTCCGTTTTCCTCTCTCACAACGCCAGCTTTGCGCTGCATCTAAGAAAGAATCAGAACTTTTGTCCATGTCACTCCATTCCTCCTTGCACTCAGGGCAGACATCATTAGTCAGCTTCCTACCCCGTCTGGACGCTGCCTCAGAAACTTTCTCAACACAGCAATACAGGTAGTCACACACAACTCATTAGAGTTGACCTATAAGAGAAAGCTTTTTTCACCCTGAGGGAGAGAATTTATTATTGAAGAAATAATTGAAATGTAGCATTTTGAAGTGAACAGCACAATAATTGTCCAGAGGTTGCCTGGGAGAGAGAATACTGGCCTGGGTATAAGAAAACCCAAGCCACAGTGGTGTGAATGAGCTTTGGGAGCTTGGTGAGTCATTTCACAGCTAAACCTCTCAGCAGAATAAAATGGATGGACAGAATGGGATCTCCTGGAATACCCTAGGTCTGTCACTCCATGCATCTCAGGGAAAAAAAACAAAAAACATATATTTGTAATCATAAAAGTAACAGAGACTTGTTTTAGAAAATATAGAAAACTAGGTAGTCCCATCACTCAGAGGCAAACATTCTGGATTATTTCCTTCAAATATTTTGGCTATGAATTTTTAAAGCATGATGGTGACCACAGGTATATTCATGAGGTTGTAGGTAAGAGGCACCAACCCTAGCCGGCCTGACCTGAAACACGGAGCTTACTTGTAAGGTTATGTGAACCGAGGCTGAAACGCAGCAGGTCCAGGAAGCCCGTGGGACCAGGCTTCCCTATGCTTTTCACACCTGTCTTTCCCTCCTTCTCTCTCTCATCTTGATTTTTCTCTTTCTCTGGCCCAGAAGCTAGAATATGTCAAACGTGCAGCTTCCATGTTCATGTTACCACAACAGCTCCAAATTCCAGAGAGAAATATTCTGATTGGCCTTGTTTTGCTCCAGTCCCTGGTCCTATCAGCTATGGCCAGGCAGGCGGGGTCACGTGGGGCTTTTTTCACTTGTTGTGGCTGTTCTATTGAGCGCATAGCACGTGTGGAGACACAGCAATAAACAAGACAAAGTCCCTCACTGAAAAGAGAAGAGCAGTAGACAAGAAAATAAAATAATTGCTAATAGGATTAGCTCTATGAATAAGACAAAACAGAGTGACTTGTTAGGCGTGGGGACTTTAGACAGGTGCTTGGAAAGTCTCTAAGGAGGTACCATTTGAATGAAGACCTGACTAATAAAAACATGGTTGCATGGTTGCCTGGGACTCTTCCCTAAAAACTGAGGGGAGAACAAGGAATTTCCAGAAGAGGAGATCTTGTGAACTGGGAGAAATTCCAGAAATAGCTTCCTCAAGTGGCATGTACAGAAGTGTATAAATTGATATTTAAAACCTCTCCTTTTGCTAAGGATAAAAGTAACAACTACTTTTAAAAAAGAAACTAGAAAATTTAAGAGCATAAAGATAAAAATTATCCAGAATTCTTCAACCCAAAGATAACAATTAATGAACATTTTGATATATTTTCTTACATTTGTGTTTCTTCATTTTTTTAAAATAAATTTATTATTTTATTTATTTATTTTCGGCTGCTTTGTTTCTTCGTTGCTGTGGAAGCTGTGAGTGGCTTTCCTTAGTTGCAGTGAGCAGGGGCTACCCTTCGTTGTGGTGCGCAGGCTTCTCATGGCGGTGGCTTCTCTTGTTGCAGAGCATGGGCTCTAGGCACAGGGCTTCAGTAGTTGTGGCACACGGGCTCATAGTTGTGGTTCGTGAGCTCTAGAGCGTAGGCTCAGTAGTTGTGGTGCACAGGCTTAGTTGCTCCGCGGCATGTGGGATCTTCCCGAACCAGGGCTTGAACCCGTGTCCCCTGCATTGACAGGTGGATTCTTAACCACTGCGCTGCCAGGGAGGCCCTTTTGATTTTTTTAATATACTTTTTGCTCATGGCATCATAAGCCCAGAAATACCCCCAGGCCATAGAGGAAGTGGTCCTGGTAACAGATGATATCCATCCCTGGGTTATTTATTAGTCTTAATCAATTTAAAACATAAAAAGAGAGGCCAATGACTCATTAAACATGCATTCAACAGACGCAGATAATCCAGTTCCTTGGCAACTTGGCTTTTGTAAAGGAGAAAATAAGTTATTCGTTCAACAGTTCTTCTGCTGCAGTGTCCCAACTTCATAAATAGCTTAGTCATTTTTAGTAAGTCCCAAAATACAGCTGTACCCATTTATTGTTCTGGGTAGTCATCCAACCTGGCAGGAGACTTCCTGTGAACTGAGGGATCAAGAATGAGAAACGTAGCTGCTGCAACTTCCATGAAAGGAGTGGAAGCAGAAGGCAGCATCGAATCAAATTTTACCCCTTGGATGCAAAATCCACTTGATAGCCCTTAGCCAAGTGCATTCCTAAGATAGGAGTCTAGCACAAGGCAAGGAAAACTCAGATTACTTTTATACCTTGAATTCTCTGTACTCAAATTCTTCTTTCAATTGGCTAAAATAACTCTTGACCTAATTTTTAGTTTAATCTCTCCACGAATACCTGAGAATGTCACTATGGTGGTTTGTTACACAAATAACCGTTTCACTGTATATAAAATTTAGGTCACAGTATTTCTCTATGGCAAGTCAGTAAACGTTGCCCCATTGTTTTGAAGCATTTAGTGTGCTGGAAGAAAGGCAAAAACAAATTTGGAAGTAAACTTTTTTCAACTAGTATCTTTAAAGAAAAAATCTTAATGTTTTTCCGTGTAATTTAAAACTGGAGTCCAGATATAGGTCTGCTTTTCACTGATTTTCAATGGCATGACAGTATTTTTTAACTCAGGAACGTTTGCTGTATTTTTTATGTACCGCTGTTCCTTGTTTTTCTCAAGAACACATAACTCTCTTCCTTCTACCCCAGTGCCATCCAATGGAAATTAAACGTGAGCCGTATGTGTAATTTTAAATTTTCTAGTAGCCACAATATAACATTAGTTTCAGGTGTACAACATAGTGATTTGAAATTCAAATACATTACAAAATGATCACCATAATGAATCTAGTGACCATCTGTCCCCTTACCAAGTTACTACAGTATTGTTGACCATATTCCTTAGGCTGTATATCACATCCCCATGACTTATCTATTTTATAACTGGAAGTGTGTACCTCTTAATCTCCTTCACCAATTTGGGCCAACCTCCCAAAACCCCCTTCCCCTCCCTTCTGACAACCACCCATTTTCTCTCTGTGTCTATGAGTCTGTTTTTATTTTGTTTTGTTTGTTTTGTTTCTTAGATTCCACATATAAATGAGATCATGCGGTATTTGTCTTTCTCTGTCTTGACTTATTTCACTTAGCATAATATCCTCTAGATCCATCTATGTTGTCACAGATGGCAAGAGTTCATTCTTTTTATGGCTGAGTAGTATTCCATTGTTTATGCACCACATCTTCTTTATCCATTCATCTACTGGTGGACGTTAAGGTTGCTTCCGTATCTTGGCTATCGTGAATAATGATGCATATATGTTTTCAAATTAGTGTTTTTGTTTTCTTCGGGTAAATACCCAGCAGTGGAATTGTTGGATCATGCGAAGACTTGACTAAAAAGCAAAGTAGAGGCTTCATTCCTCCTTCATACAATAAATATTCTAGATCAGCATTGTCCAACAGAGATATAATCTGGGCCAAATAGGTAATTTACAATTTCCTAGCAGTCACATTAACCAAAACAAAGTAAAAAGAAACAAGTGAGATTAATTTAACAATATATTTTATTTAACCTAATATAGCCTAAATGTTATCATTTTAACACGTAATCAATATAAAAAATCATTAATGAGATGGTTTTATATTCTTTTTTCAATCTATGTCTTCAAAATCTGGTATTTAAGCATATCTCAATTCAGATTCTAAATTTTCATCAGAAATACTAGAATGGTATTTGTATCTCATAAAATTTCCAGTTGAAAAGGTAGATTTCACATACCCAACTTGTTCAAATATATATATATATATATTTTTTTTTGGCGGTATGTGGGCCTCTCAGTGTTGGCTCTCTCCCGTTGCGGAGCACAGGCTCCGGACGCGCAGGCTCAGCGGCCATGGCTCACGGGCCCAGCCGCTCCGCGGCACGTGGGATCCTCCCGGACCGGGGCACGAACCCGTGTCCCCTGCATC